CTCCGCCCCCGCCCCCGCGTGGCGGCGGTGACGCTCTGAGAGCCGGGCGGGCCTAGCTGCTGGTATCTCCGGACGTCCAGGCGAGACTGCCCTTTCCGGACCCGAATCTCTGTGCCCTGACACCCACTTCCTCCCTCCGCCTCCTGATCCCGAGTCTGGCGACCCCCTATCCCGGCTACCCGGCCTCCAGGCCCTGCCTGAGGAGACCCGAGTCCCAGCCCGTGCCTGTCCAGTTCCCTCCAGGGACGGCCCGGCGAGTTGAAGTAAATGGAAACCAACCAGATGAGAAGCTGCGGAGCTGTTAATTCAGAGCTTGCCGTAGCCAGGGACTCACCCGCGTTTGGGCCCTGGCGCTGGTCTCTTGGCAGCAACTCCGGGCAGGCGGAGGAGGGGAAGCTGCCGCGATCGGGGAGGGGCTGGGCTGCTGGGCTTTCTCTAGTTGGTCCGACGCAGGGACAAAAGATAGGAAAACTTATTTATAAATAAATCGTGGCCACTTGGGGTCAGCTGTTACAGAAGTAACTTCCACTTCCTGCGTTGTCACTAGAGACAGCAGTCTGTTTTCCTGCAGCTGTGACAGCGGGCTGGTTTCCTGGGCTTGTTATTATAGATGAGGAGATGGTTTTCTGCGCAGAGTGAAGATCAGAGTTATGTTTTATGTATGGTCTGGCTGTTGTCTGTGTATTCAACCTCTGGGGTAAATCACTGTAAAGATCGGTGAAAAGTGAAGTGTAAAAAAAAAAAAAATACGCTAAGTAAAAGCCCCAGTTTGCCATTGGATTCAAAAAGTGTTTAGTATTGCTAAACACTTCCAGTTTCTGTGCTTACATCACAGGGCCCTGGCCTGGCTGCAGAGTGCTTCCCTGGGGTTGTTAAATTGGCCTGATGTAAGAGCAGTTCCTTAGAGAAAGAGGCTTCGATGACTGGTGTTGATTCCTCAAAATCCCAGATCTTTGCAGAACAGGCCACAGCGGCGCCAAGCTATAAAGGGAAATTTAGAAATCAATGATAGGTCTCCTTACAGTTGTGGGGCGTGGCTGGATAAAAGTTAAAATGGAGAAACGGTTGTTAAACTGGATTTGCGCCTGCCAACCCCCTTAGCATCTTCCATGCCTTGGGAATCTTCTGTGAGTTCTGATTACTTTACCTAACCTTAAGTAGAGTCACCAACTTATCTAATCTTATCTCTAGTGTGTTCAAGTCATAGATGTTGAAAGGATTAAATGAGAACGTGGGTGAAGGGGGTGGCACAGTGCCTCGTGTGTGCATCAGCTGCTATTTGCAAAATCTCGACAGCAATATGACTGCGTTTGACTACCCTTCGTCAGGCTTTTCGATGAACTGGTAAACTGAATGTTTGGAAACTTAGATTTGTCTCCTTAAGGCTGTTCTCAACTTTCAGTCAAAGTGACACTTTTTCAAAATCTCTGTACAAAACCTTACAATGCCCCCCCTCACTCAAAGTAAAAGCCAAAGTATCAGAACGATGGCTTCTTTTCACAATGTATCTCCTCCTACCTCGTCCCCATTTACAGCTAGGAACCCTCCTGCCCTTTGTCCTTCCCTGTCTCTAGAGAGAGCACTAGAAGCAGCACGGCCTGTCTTCTCTCCTCGGCCTTGTTCACATGTCCCCTTCACGGGGGCCTGGTCTTAACCATCCTACCTAAAATTGCAGTCCCCTGCATCCCAAGCCCTTGTACCCAGATCTTCTCGCCCCTCATCACCTTCTAACACCTACTGTTTATTTATTTATTTAGGCTCTGTCCTCCCAGAATGTCAGTTCCACAAGGTCAGGAATCCTACTTTGTTAATGGATCCACCCTGAATTCATAGAACAGTGCCTGGCACATAGTGCTTATTGCAGACTCAGTGAATGAAAAGGGATCCCACACATGAGAATGGGCAGCCATTCTTTCTTAAAAGCATGTAGTTGAGCTGTTAGAGGTCACGGTTAGTCCTTGGACGCCTAGCACAACACATATTCTACAGTAAAGTACTTTGAGGAGTTCAATTGAAATAAGAATTTTAAAAGTCACAGCTGCATTTTATTTAATTAAATGTATATATCTTACTGTTCCTGTGTGACCACATCACTTCTCACTGCCTTGGAATCTTACTGCCCTCTGGTGGTTGTTTTACTAAATTAGGGAAGTCATTGTAGTGCTAGTCACAGAATTACACCCCAAGTTTAAGAGGCTCTTACAGGTCAGCTAGTCCTGTTAACTGTGGCTCAGACAGCTACACTTCAGCACGTAACGAGGGGAGAACATATTCAGAAGTGGCGTCGTATCTTTCAACTTTTAGATTTACTTTGGTAGAATACTGTCAGACACTATCAGCCCCAGTTGCTCTTCTTTGTTTAGAGAGAAATAGACACCCAGTGAGGTTATGGTTACAAGGCAACTGTCTTCATGTTGAGTAGCAACTAAAATTAATGTAGTAAAAGTCTCATCACAGTGTGTTGAGTTTAGATCTGCAATATACCACCAAAGTCCAGTGTGTTAAAGGCTTGATTCTCGGCTTGGGAGGTGGTGCAACTGGTAAGAGGTGGGGCCTAGGGGGAAGAGTTAGGTCATGGGGCAGAGGGTGGCAGGTTAACAGGGTGGGGGTGGGTCTCCTCCAAAGTGCTCCTGATAGGCCAGTCTCTCCTTTCCTGGTCCCCAGCCACCATGAGGTACAAAGCTTTTCTCTACCACACAGTCCGCACCAGAATGTGCTGCCTTGCCACAGGCTCAAAAGCAACGGGGCCACCTGAATGAGCCAAAATACACCTTTCTGTTTATTTGTTTGTTTATTGTTATACTGGGAAATGAATCCAGGGCCTCCTGAGTGCTAAGCAAGTACTCTTTCCTACTGAGCTGCACCACTAGCCCTTTTTAATACTCTGAGACAGGATCTCACTAAGTTGTCCAGGCTGGCCTCAAACTGGTGAACCTTCTACCTCACTCTCCTGAGTAGCTGGGATTACAAGTGTGCACCACTGTGCCCAGCTCAACCTTTCCTCTTTTAAGTTGACTTCTGCCATGCATGTTACATTAACAGAAAGCCTCCTAACACAGTGGTGAATGTATAAATTCAGATAATTCATGGGTCAAGCCATCTGCAAAACATCTGAAGAGAGACAATTCTGTAGGAGGCTCATTTCCGTCATTTTGCTCACTTGGCTAAAAAAATTAACTGGTTTAATTCAGTTGTTGCCAGTAACATAGACATATTTGCATATTTCCACGATGTGGGAGTTTATTGAATAACATATTTGTCAAGCTACATCAATTTCATCAGCCTTATCTGACCAAGTACTCAAGGTTCACTTTGCAGCCAATAGCTGGAAAATCGCAGGGCCTTTTATTTCAATCTTAATTACTAATATTTGACCACTAAATTCACATATGATTTATCAGAACATAGAAAAACAGATTAACAATGGTTTCAGGATTTGAAGAGACAGAATTAAAAAACAAGAGTTTGCAAGGACCTGAAAAGTCACCACAGGTGTCTACTTTCTGTTTGTAAATTTTTTTTCTCTAAGAAATCCAATTTTATACCTATATCATTTAGCCCTGGTGTGTGTTTTCATAACTCCTTTTAGGATGCATAACTGTGTGCAGAAATGTCCTGCTAGAGAAAAGAGACATCAATTTGTCAAAACTGGTGTCGTAGGTATCATATAGATTGATTACAAAGGTCCCATGCTGCCCTGGTGTATAGGCCTCTGATTATAGCTGCAGGCTGCCTAGTGTGTAAGGGCTATTTAACAAGTAATGGCTCCATTAAGTACTGACAGTTGCTTGGCTTTGGTCCCATCTTATACTTTTCACGAGTCTTTGACAATTTTAGTATCAAGACGGCAGTTAAAGCCAGCATTGTAGAAACACAAACTTCATTTCAATAAAACTTGAAAAAAATTATAAGGTAAAGCTTGCAGAAGCAAGGGAGATCAAAGAGAACATAAGTAAGAAGAGAAGACAGAGAGAGGTCTGGGGAACAAAGTGATCTCACAACTCAGTTTGACCCTGCAACGCAAAAGAAGAGCAACTCTACTGCACAGGCAATTACAAAACCTGGACAAAAAAAAAAGAAAAAACATTCAAGGCACTGGAGTGTACTCTGGAGAGTGCTTTATGGGCTGGATGAGAATGAGATAGAGGAAAAAGAGGTAAAAGAATGAGACAGAAGAAAGGCTAGACTAGAACAGCAGGGTGCACCTGGGATGGAGATGTGAGGAGGTAAAGCCTGACCAGGAAAGTGGACACCACAGAGGCCACCGTGTGAGCGCTCAGTGGCCTGATGCTGCTGACAGGGCAAGTGACTTGAGCACTGCCAGTGAATCTCCTGCTCTTGAGGCTGCTCCAGGCACTCCAACCCTGCTGGCTTCCACACTCTGTTCACACTTCTCCTTCCACCTGAAAATGTTTTGCTACCATTTCTGAACATCCAAATCTTACCGATTTTCAAGGCTCTCGGATAAAATTCCAGCTCTTCTGGAAACTGTATATGAATTATTCTTCACTTGGTCCTGCCCTCCGTTTTCCTTTAACCTATTGGGTGCTCCAAGAAGCTAGTACAGGCATAATTACCCAGATCGTGTGATAAGGCATGTTTAAGAGAATAGTTTGACAATTTGTGCGCTCATCCAGATCTTATAGTCATATTAAGTAAATGAAACTATATACCAATATTTTAACATGGGAAAAAAAGTCTGGGAAAAACTATATACCAAGATGTTATCTCATTGAAAAAGTTATCTTTGGAGTCACACACAAAAAGGTTAATAAGATTTTTTTAAATTAGTCTTATTGTAATTGTGATCAACATACAGAGATTTCCACATGTTTAAAGTATACATTTTGATGAGTGTTCACATATGTGTTGTTGCATTTATAGATCTTTGGGGATTTGATTTACTAAATATTTTGTTTAGAATTTTTGCATCTATATCCATGAGGGATTATTTTGTAGGGTTTTTTTGTGTCAAGTTTTTATTTGGTTTTGATGTCAGGTTAATGATGATCTTGTAGAAAGAATAGAGAAGTGTCCCAGCTCTCCTATTTTATGGAAGAGTTCTTGTAGAATCAGTAGTATATTTTTTCTTGAGTGTTTGGTAGCCTTCATCATTGAAACCATCCAGGTCAGGGATTCTCTGTGGAAAGTTTTGAACTATAGATCATGTTTTTAATAAATAAAGGGCTATTCTGGATACTTATTTATTTTTCAGTAAGCTTTGGTATTTTTAGGTATTTCAAGGAATTTTTCCATTTCACCTAAACTGTTGAATACATTGACATAAGATTTTCATAACACACCCTTCTTATCTATTTAATGTCTGTAGGATTTGTAGTTACACGCCCTATAGAAATGTCACCTCCTACATTCAGAACACTAGTAATCTGTATCTTTTCTTTCTTTTGTTTCTTTTTCTTTTTTTTTCTTTTTTTGTTGTCGTTGTTGTTGTTGCTGATAGTCTGACAAAAAGTTTAGCCATTTTATTGATCTTTCCAGCTTTGGGGGTTCACCAATTTTCTGTATTTCTTTCCTCCACTGATTT